TTGTCTTTTCCAAGAACTGGAGTAGTCCTTGAGTCACCAAGATATACAACCTCTTCTTCTTCCTCAACTTGGGTGTATGACACAAAGTCTTTTTTTGTTAGCACATATGTGCCTAGTGGCACCCGAATCTAACACCCAATCTTTCACATTGGCCACAAGGTTCACTTGGGAAACAACTGCAACAATTATGTCATCTGCTTTGGCTTCAGTTAAATTTATTTTAGCCTTAGCGGGATTGTCATTCCCAACCCTCTTTTGGCATTGAGCATCATGATGGCCAGCTTTGCCACACACAAAGCAGTTGCCTTTTTTCTTGAAGGTTTGATTATTGGTTTTGGGCTTATAACTATTTTTTTATCATACATGTTATTTGATTTGTTCTGCTTGTTACTGTCTTCCACAAGGTTGGCTCTTGTAGCAATCTCCTTTCCTTTGTCATCAACAACTTACGTGCGATTGGTATTTTCGATTATAATATGCTTGACCAAGTCCTTCAGCGACAATTGCTTGTGTTTGTGTTTCAATTGTTGTTTGTAGTCACTCCAACATTTGGGAAGTTTTTCTATAAGCATACCAACAACAAACTGTCCGGCAGAGAAATATCTTCAGATTTGAGATCTTCAATCAACTTGTGATATTCGTTGATTTGTGCAGTTATGTCCTTGTCCTCCGTCATCTTCCACTTGTCGTAATATCCAATTACAAACTTTTGTTTAGTAGCATCTTCAGCAGTGTACTTTGTTATCATTGACTCCCAGTTTTCTTTTGCCTCCTTGTAGGAAACGTAGACATCGAACAATTTGTTAGAAAGAGTAGAAATTATAGTATGTCTACATATCTTATTAGCATGAACCCCTTGATCCATATGAATGAAAGTTGCTTCAATTGGCTTAGGATCAGTAAGTGCAAAAGCAACTCCATGCATATCCAAAATAGAATGCACACATTCCTGCCAGCGCTTAAAATTATCTCCACCAAAAACCTCAATTTTCGAAACATCTGGAAAAGGTTTGGCATATGTAATTAGTGATGGAACAACAACAGAAACAATTCGTGCATGAGGTGTAGTAGCATCAACAACAACATTAGCAGCGTTATTATCCATAATAACGACGTAAAAATATCCTTAAGATTGTTGGAAAACTTGGATGACTATGAAGAATAAAAGGATTAGCTTGAAGAGTGTCAAATACACTGTCCTTAAGGATACTTCACCCAAACTGAGATGAATATTGTTAAGTGTATCCCCGGGATTCAACAAGCTCTTCTAGTATAACTAGGAGCAGAAACAACAAAGATTAAGAAGAAACCCCAGTGTAAAAGAAAAGGGAAGAAACTTTTTAACTTTATTTTTTCACTACTATAAAAACATGAAAAACAAAGTATATATAGTCCAAAACACTTCACAATGAGATAGAAGAATACGTTAAGAACCAAAAATAAGCCATAAAGGCTTTTGTGTTACAAAAGTAAGCCATAAAGGCTTCTGCTACCAAAGTAACGTTCTTTCGAATGGTCAATTCTTCTTTCAACAGTAACGTTCAAATTACCCACTAATAGCATTCAATAATCAGATTTAATATGTCCAAAGTGAATTTAAAATTAAACTAATTTTCTATTATAAATATATTTAAGATAATTACTATAATAATGATTCATTAATATAATTGTAAGAAAATGAATCTAGACATATATTAGGAATATTTCTTTTTGAGATATCAAAAGCATTTTTCTATCATCAAGTTCACTCAACTAATCAAGTTTTAATTTTGTCATAAAATTTTCTACAGTTAACTTTTCAAATACTTCTGTTGTTTTTACAATTTGATTTGTATTTCCATATACAAATAGGGGCGTACATAGGTGGGGTTGGTTTAGATTTTCTAATTACCAAACCAAACTAATTATATCAGATTATTAAATTTAAAGACCAGACAAAACCAATAAAAATTGGGTTTTTTTAGTCTCAGATTTTTCGGGATTTTCGTTTTTTTGATAAAGTCTTTATAGCTCAAAACATAGAATTTGTGCTTCAAATATTTCTGTAATCATAGTAAGACAAAACTATATAAGGTGTTTTTTAGTAAAATAACATAAATATGAGATGAGTCATGGCATTATACTAAAATATTCAACAATAAAGATAATAAAATCGCATAAAATAAATATTATTAATAATATATAATGAAAATAAGCATAATTTAAAATTACTAATAAGTTGCTAAAATAAGTACGCCTAATTAGTACTATTATTTACATGATTAAACACTAAAAGAAAAATAAGTTATGCATTTTATCTTAAACCATGAAAAAACTAAAAGATAGATAGGCAACACTATTTTCATTCATAGTACAATTGAATTGAATGTCTTTTATTAGTATTAGTATTAATTTGATTTTGGTTTAAGATTTATTTGAGTTTCTAATATTTATGGGCCACAAAACTTATTGGAGCATCCAAAAATTATAAGTCCAAATTTGAAATAATACGTTAAAGGATAAAACTAAGAAAAACTTAAGAAATATTTATAAACTACACTACAATAAATATTTTTATGTATTAAATATATTTAAAACTTCTAAACATATAATATCGGGTTGGTTTGGTTTCGGTTTGACTTTGTTTAGTTAAAACCAAACCAAACTAAATATGATCGGATTTTTTTCCAACACCAAACCATAATCTGATTTTTTTTCTCGATTTAACTTGGATTATCGGGTTGGTGTAATTTATCAGTTTCATTTGTAGACACCTATATACAAAAACTGAAGTACCATCTTAACTTTTTCCAATAAGATTGTATCGAATAAGGTACTATCGCATCAATTAGAATGGAGAAAATCTCTTGTATGACCGATAAAACAAAACCAATCCAAACCGATATAGTTGTTTTGGTTTAATTTTGATAAAAACCGAACCAAACCGGTTCATATACACCCCTAGCTAAAAGTATATTACAACCTTTATTTTTCTAATTTTAGTCCTTTACATGTTAGAGTTCTGTGTTATGCTGAGCTATGGTTTTGTATATCTTACTTGGTGATTAATAAAATGATCAATACAAAAAAAAAATGCTTCCATGGTTGGGATTTCAATTATCGGATTCTTGAACTACCGTTTTAATATATGAGATCGGCCATAACAAACTCCAACACAACTTCCTTCTACTGAACCGAAAGAAGCCAGTCAAGAAATGAACAGGAGTATTCCCAACAAAATCAGAATGAAATGGTCAAAGATACGAAACAAGGAACAACAAGAAACTCATATGAGAAATTAAGCAAAATAAAGACAGAAGGCAGAAGTAAAAACCAACATAAAGAGAAGGTTCAACATCAAATAAGAAGATTAAACACAGAACAGTTGGTTTGAGAGAAAGGGTAAATACCCTTAAGTTATCTGGATATGTGTTAGTAGTCGCATCTACACCAAAAGGGACTAAGCAGAAAGGAATAAAGATTGCACCGAGCTTCAAGAAACAGATAGCTAGTTCAATACCAATGCTGAGGACAATGCACAGATACAACAGCGTTGCACGAAAGATAAAGCAGACCAAGAAAATGAGGAGAATAAGGAGTAAAGAGGATACAGATTAAGAAAATGATGGAAATATGAATCTGAGAATGAAGACAATCAAATTGAAGCTGAAAGGATAACATTTTGAACAAAAACAAGTCTCACAAAGTCACCTCCTAGCTCTTATAACCAAATAAAAGGAACAATCTCAAACATCAACTTAGTTATCTTCACTATAATTAACTTCATACAGAATATGGGTGATGAAACTTAAAGGCACCTCCGCACCTGCTATACTCTTTTGCTCGGTATTTATCAAGTTGCAGTGTTAAAAATAGCGTGAAGCGAGAAAAAGCGACAACCCCCTTTCACGAAAAGCGAAAAGCGAGAAGCGAAGCGCCTGCTTTTTTTAAGTGAAGCAAAATTTTAAAAAATAAATAAAATAAATACGGCATAAACAACACATGTAATTGTAAGTAAATGTTCAATACTTCAATTAAAAAACTAAAGAGTAGCATCACTTAAAGCACAAAATGAGCATCATATTCTTCTACAAGATTGTCAAATTCTTGTATTCAACTATCGTTATTATATTGCTCGTCATCTTCTTCATCAACTAGGGACAAAGTAGCTGTCTGTTTTCCCTTCCCCTGTGAACTTGAAGTTGAGGTACTCCCCCTCAAACCATAAATCCTCTCCCCAATTCCACGCGCCTCCGCAACATCACCTCAAGTGAAATCAAAAGTATCCCCAAATCCTTCTTCATCTGTTTGATCTTCTGGGACTCCAGTTAGCCATTCATTAGCATCATCGATGTTGTCGAAACTAATTGGATCAATTACATTGCGAGTGTTGTAATGACGCCTCAATGTTCTATTGTACTTAATGAAGACTAGATCATTGAGACGCTTCAAGGTTAGTTTGCTCCTCTTTTTGGTATGAATATGCAAATAATAAGTAATTAGTAAGATTAGGACAATTGAGATATAATTTAATTATCTCAGTACACTAAATCTTTCTTATTAGTTCTTACATGCTCAAACACGCTCCAATTCCTTTCACACTCGGATGAGCTACATGTTAGACTTAGAACCTTGATGGCAAACTTTTGTAAATCTGGAGTGGAATGACCATATTGCTTCCACCATTCAACTGTAGAAATAGAACAAATTTTCAAAACATAATATTGATAAAAAAATTCTTATTAACTATAAACGACATATAAGCACTCGCTCACCTGGTGACGTCGTCTTTCTTTGTCTAATGGCCATGTTTTTTTCCAAAAAGTTGCTCAGCATTCCTATAAATACTAAATTGCTCTGTGATTTTATCTTGCACTAGTATCAATTTCTCAATACAATCATAGTATCCATTCCACAAAGGTTCATCTCCTAGAATCCTCTCTTCATTTGTCATAAACCAGTTCCTGGTTCAAAACAAGTCCAGCTGCATGCAAAGGGCTATGAAGCTTACTATCCCACTTTTAATCTATGATCTCAAAGACTCTTTTGTATTTTCTTTGATCACTAAAAGAGGCTTGAATAGCCTCCTTTGCCCTATCAATTGCTTCGTACATGTAGCCCATTGGTGGCCTTTGCTCCCCATCCACCAAACAAAGCACTTTAACTAAAGGACCACCAATCTTCAATGCATGAACCACATTGTCCCAGAATGATGGAGAAAGTATATAGCTGCAGATTTTCTCCCTCGAGCTTCCCTTCCATAGGCACTGCTAGTGTACTTATCTGAAACAAACAACTTCTTCAAATTGCTTTTTTACTCAGCCAAAGTCAAGAAAGCAGTAACAAATCTTGTGTTTGCAGGTTTCACCAAGCATCTTTGTTTAGTGAATCTCTTCATCATGTTCAATAACAAAGGCCTTTGAACAATATAGGAATGCACCCTAATTGCTTGATTAAAGACAGTACTGAAAGGTCTTTCCTTGAAATATCACTGAAGATCAAATTAACAAAATGTGCTGCATACGGAGTCCAATAGATATGCGGGTAGAAAGCAGACGTTATATTACCAGTTTTAACATTTTCACTGGCATTGTCCGTGACAACTTGAACAATATTTTCTGCTCCAATAGAGTCTATTGTACTCTTGAACAAGGAGTACATTTTGGTTGAATCAGTCGAAGAGTTGCTTGCATCAACGGACTCAAGAAACAGGCTTCGCTTAGGAGAATTCACCAAGATATTGATGATCATTTTTTCATTTCTCGCCGTCCACTTATCCATCATAATGGAACAACCAAACTTGTTCCATTCTACTTTGTGCTCCTTCACGATTTTGTTCACCTCTGCCACCTCCTTTTTTAGATATGGCCTACTAACTTCATAATAAGTTGAACGCTTTATTCTTGGGCCATATTAGCCTACGGCCTCAATAAAAGTAGCAAAAGTGTCAGTATAATTAACACAATTAAAAGGAAGACCTGCATCATACATCCACCGCGCAAAAAAGGTAATTGCACGGTCCCTCAAAATCTCTTTGGCACCAACTTGAGGATTACCACTTTTTCCTCCCTTATCTCCAGATTTTTGCGGGAAGTAACAATCCATAGGACCTTTGATCTTGCCAGTAGATCCACAACTAGAAGACATTGGTGGAAGCATCCTTCCCCGCTTTNGCATTTTTGTGATTTTGGTGGAAGCAACGAAGCATCATCACCTTCTTCTGTTTCATCATCATCATAATCAAGATTATAAAGTTCTTCTTCATGAATCATTTGAGTCTTTAACTCTTTCTTTTTTTTGAAGGTATGCTTTCAATTTTTCCTTCACATGCCCCGGAACTTTAGGACAAGAAGCGACATTTGGATCACCACCGATTATGTGTTTTTTGACGATAGATTTCTCCATTTGTAATCTTATCACAAAAAAGACATCTAATGGTTATCTTGTTGGCCTCGCTAACTCTTGCAGAGTAAGCCCAAGCCGGATTTTTCGTATCTTCTTTTGGCGCCATTAAAAGAACAACTACATAATACATAAGAAAGGCAATAAGAACTAAGAATAAAAGATATATAATTGGGCAGAATTTTTTCGAAAAAAATTCATCAGCATTTCGGCGTTTTTTGGACGTTTAGAAAGAAAAAAGAAAAAAAAAAGAAAAAGAAAAAGAAGAAGAAGAATGAAAATAAAAAGTGAAAAAGCAAAACATACTTGTTGAAACTTGAAAGTTGTTGTTGTAATGTTGAAGAAGAAAAGAAGAACCCTAATTTGCTTGAACAAATCGCTGCTTGAAGTGAGGAAGAAATCACTGGTTTAGAACCCTAATTTGCTGCTGAAGAAGTCAAGAAACTACTGTAACAGAAGTCAGCGATTTGGTCTTTTAATTGAAAAGGCGACCGCTTCTTTCGCTTAAGCTCCGCTTCACCGCTTCTCGCTTTTTAGAGAGAAGCGGGCGCTTATGTATACCTGAGCCGCTTTTAATTGGAGTAGCGACCAACCTCCCGCTCCTCTTCGCTTCTCGCTTAAAGCGAGGAAGCGGGCGTTTTTCTGAACACTGTCAAGTTGAAAAGAATTTCAAGCACAGGTAGTTTAACAAGTAACTGCTTCATCAGACACCAAGCATCCATAATACGTGCCATAAGGGTAAGATCACAAAAAAAACATTTTATTTGCATAGAAAAGTTAAAAACTCATAAGTACCGGCAGAAAAATCAAAGATAAACTATTATGCGCAACTTTTGGTGTGCCGAAAAATAAAACCACTTGCATTCTGCTCATGGAAAATCATGACTCATGGAAACTCATCGTAAAATTGGTTGAGGGTATTGGGCAACCAAACAATTTCACAGCAAATCCTGATGAATATATGGATACACAATTCCTTGAACACAAGCAGCAGTGTGTCCTCTTTGCCATAACGACCCGGGCCCACACTGTGCATATATTGTCCGCTTTGGGTCCCACCCGCACAGTTTTGTTATCCCCCAGTCCCACTAGGGAAAAGGCCTATGCACATGTAAGTCCAAGTCTTACTAATATAGCTCAGGACTCCCCCTCTCTTTTCCGATGTGGGATTCCTACGAGCTACAATCCCACTGCACTAATTAGCAGAAATTTTGAAAGTTCAAAAAGCCTATCATGCCTCATCGTCCGACACATCCCAATGAAAATAGGGCAGATAATATTAACACTCTTGAGACTGGGAAATACAGCTAAGTTGCTCCGACATGGAAATTTAGGTGCCGCACCCGTGTTGACACGACTCTTGTATGGGTGTGGGTATGGGATCCGTACCGGATCTAGTCAAATAATTTTGGGTACTTTCACCACGATGGACGGAAAAATTCGAGACGAGATACAATTTGATTCCCGAAATCAGAACCAAAACTAGGGTAAATTTGAAGAAAATAGTATACCTTATATTTAGGAAATCAATCTTTTACTTATGTACAACTTGAGAATAAAAAAGAAATCAGCACTTTATAAGCTATACTTAAGTATACCACAAAATCTCTCATAATTTAGAGATGTTTTTATTTTTTTGAATTATTTTTAGCCGGATCTTTGCACACGTATCTGTACTAGGATCCGTATCTCCAAATCTTAGAATTTACATCTCGAAGGATCCGACCTCTAGAACTGCACCCATCCTCAACCAATTTTATGATGAGTTTCCATGAGTCATGATTTTCCATGAGCAGAATGCAAGTGGTTTTGTTTTTCGGCAAACCAGAAGCTGCGCATAATTTAGAGATGTTTTTATATTTTTGAATTATTTTTAGCCGGATCTCTGCACCTGTATCCGTACTAGAATCTGTATTTCTGAATCTTAGAATTTACATCTCGAAGGATCCGACCTCTAGAACCGCATCCGTGTCGGACACCCGCATTCGTGTCCGAGCAACTTAGAAATACAGAGTTTGAAATCCAACTCTCCAGATCGATATTATCTCATTGGCGCAAATAACTTGACTCATAGCGGCATTGCACAAAATTAACCTGTATTGTATATAGACAATATAATCTAGATCAAATACAGGTTAAAATTCATGATAAATCTGTCCCACACAATTTCAAAACCCACGGATTTGGTTCTTCGCAGATAATTAATAGCAAATTTCAATCTATAAGACTCATTGAGAAGGTAAACAAGCAAACAATGAAAGATGTATTTGCATTCTCCCTACAAAACTCAGTATGGAGAGGAAAGAGGGCGTGATAAATCATCAAAATATGAATGAATGTACGAAGAAGAGCAAAAGATGCGGGAAGTTACGTCAACGTCCCTGTGTATGTTGAGTGTCTCCAGATGAGGCGAGGCCCGCAAAAGGCTAGCTACTCCATACAAATTATACTTTGTTATGTGCAACTTCGGTGTTAGGCATTTGCATTTCAATTCTGGAAGCTGCGCTCCATCAAGCTGCATCATGAACAGAACCTAGTCAATTCTGGTGCAGTAATCCCAAGGAAATTAGTCAAGGACAGAAAAATAGAAACAATAAAAAATATATATACATCACACAGATAAGCCATATGACAAAAGTAAATATCTAAACCTTTAAGTCACGTCAACATGAAAAATGCTAATTTCCAAAATTATCTTTTGCTAGTACTGACAATAGAAGTACTACCTGATTTAAAATTGACAGAAAACTTGCACAAAATTCACAAAAAGGTGAAAGATTCTTTTTCCACATAAATTTTCACGTGTACAAAAGCTTTCAATTATACTATATTCAGAGGCGGATCTAGGATTTTCGGAGGATGGGTGCACTATTACTTTTTAATAAAAAAATTAAACATAAAGGAGGTTGGTAGGGGATTTGATCCCTTGACCTTAGGCTATTGAAAATAAAGACCAAAACCAATGCTCCACTTGATTTCTTTTGACCATGGGTTCCATAAGTATTTATACCTATTTTCGCCAAATTATATACATCATATTTATACTTTAACCTAAGGACCACGGGGTCACGTGAACCATGTTTTACATAGTAAATCCGCCCCTGACTATACTGCATCCTGTAACTGTTTGCTAAAAATCAAATAGAGCAACTATAAAGAAATTTTGATTGAATAACAACCTCTGCAAACCAAGTCGCAATTGTTAGCTCATTTAAATGTCTCAATTTTTTAAGATAATCTTGAACAAGGGTCCAAAAAACCTGGTGGTAATCACGACAACTGTTATCCTAGATCTCACATATCAAAAGTAAGCTCAACACTGACCAAGGAAGATACATTTACTAGCCTACACTTAAAATCATCAAGGTGTCCTGAAATCACCAAATGCTGAAGATATGGAGCAACAGTTTCCAATTAATGATCACCTCCATACAGCTGCCAAAAGTTGTGCAACTTCAGTGTCTTCAAATTTGTATTTTTAATTTCCAGATGATGAAAACCATGGAAATAAGTCAGTTCCATAGTTTCCAAAGAAGGACAACCTGTTAATAACTTCACAATCGCTTCATCGTCTAATCCACTGTCATAAACTTCACTGTCTTCAGAGATTTCCACGATATAACAAATTAACAACTCCCTTATCAATAAAGGCACAATTACGTAAACCTAATGTTACCAATGACGAGCAAGTGTAAAATGTTCCAGGCAATATGTACACCTTAAAAAAGGTTGAGTTCAATACAACATGTTCCACTAGACTTTTTATAACATAAGTAAGCCACTGATCGATATGCAAGCTGTAACTAGGCATGTTCCAGCAGTCGAGATATTTCTTATTTTCGAAGAAGTACGTTGAGAAAATGCAGAGTCTACGAAGGGTACAAATATTTCTGCTTCTGATGGAGATTCACAAAGTAAAATGAGATTATCAATAGAAGTCCAGAGGTACTGCCACCGTTTTGAGACAAGACATGTCCTGACAGCATTCTTCGTCGACGGCAAAAGAGAGATAATTCGAGCGAGGAGCGACTCCGGCAACTTGTTGATTCAGTCTAGGGTTCATCATCTTTGGCGACTGTCTCCGTTAACTTTGGTTTCTTCATCACTGTGGGGTGCTCTCCTTGGGTTTTTTCCAATGGTTCTTTAATGATCTGCAAATTTGTTTGGGAAATGAGTTTCAGTATATTTCAATAAGAAACATATGAGGCATGAATTTGAGGGAGATCAGTGTACGGCTACGATTAAGATGATTAACGACCTAGATTTTATCAACTGGTCCTAATAATTTTGAATCCAGAGTTTAACGTATACTAGTTTTTAATGCAAAAAGTCAACATCCAAATAGAACTAATCCCTGCATTATTATCCTGCATAAATAATCCTCGAACCAAACAACCCTTTAGAGGATAGAGGTACTAAGGCTTCATTTGATTGCACTTAACGGGGGTCTGAATCTTAATTATTCAGATCTCAGACATTAAGTGCGTTTGTTTTTAAAGTCTGAATCTTAATTATTTAGATCTTAATCACTAAGTGTGTTTGTTTTTTTTACTTCACAACCACTTAACGGGTCTGAATAGGTCTGTATGATTAAGATCTATAACAGAGACTTAATTTGATTAAGATGCTACCACATATTCATTATTAATTGCCGCCACTGTCTAGCATTATCAACTACCATCATGCCACATCCACCACTTCCACTACCACCACGTCACCATCATCCTCAATCATAGCCACCACCATTATTGACCATCACCACCCATTATTCTCAC